CGCACGGGGCCAGCGCCGGGGCCGGCCGGGGGGCGGCGGGGGGGGAGGGCGGGGGGGTGGGGCGGGGGGGGGGGTGGGGGGGGGGGGCTCTGTCTCCAACACCCTCCACACAGGTTTTCTGCCCACGGTACCTTCTTCAGACCCCTGAGGATTCTGTTTTCTCAAACTAATCTCATTTGAGACTCCTGATTTTTGGGCCCTGGGACCATCTCTACCACTCCAGTGCCAGCCTTTCCATAGCTGATTAATGATGCTCTTTTCTCCCAATTCTCATTTCATGAGGACATGAATAGGGAGAGGATAAGAAAACACACAGGAACAGGAACAAATGAATTAAATGCCCATCCCCCAAAGGAAAACCTGGCAGTTGGTCACATGACCGCTGCCCTCATACTCACCTCAACGGGGATGTAAACTCGGAGAACGAAGCCCAGCCGGTCTCTTTGGTTGGCATCGGTTCTGTGTTCCAAACGTCAGAGCCCACGGAATCAAGGCTGGCACCGTGCGTTGTCTCCATGGGCACATCAAAGTTGGCTGACCAGCTGGGTGCTATGAAAAGGGGCACCAAATGAGAATGGCGGAAGCTGTCCCTGACACCCATGCCAGGGCAAGCCCTCAAGTCGATAACCTGGGAAGTATCCAGGAGCCCCGAATCTGGTGGTCCCCAAACCCAATCCTGCCCTTGGATGTGGGGGTGGAGGGCTGGAGACTACATCCCAGCTCTGGTCCTGAAAGAACAACTTCCCTCCCCATTTCTATATGACAACCAGCACCATAAACATCCCCAAGAAATTCTCCATGGCACAGCATTGAGTGCAGGCTACGTCGCAACAGAAGATATTAGTAAGGTCTCTGAAAACAGACAACTGTCCAAGCGGTGCAGCAGACCGGCGCTGTGAGCGCTGTGAAAGGCGGCAGGCCGTGTCAAGCTCAGGGACAACGAGGGAAAACAACTCACGTTCATTCAAATCCACTTCCATCTTGTCCTCTGGGTTGGCGCTGCTGGAGTCAAATAAATCGTGTTTGGCCCCGTCTTCCTCCTCAGAGTCTGTACTTTCCTCGCTGTCTGTGCTCCCTGAACTGAAGGGAGAAAAGTTACGTACTCGAGTTATTTGCTCAATCCAGAATTCCTTGGAGCCCACTCCGGGGAAGGCAATGATAAAAAGAAAGGCCGCCCAGCAGCACAAACCTACAAATGATGCTGATGATGATGATGATGATAAAAGTAAATGAAAAAACAGGATACAGTTAGGCTTACATTAATTGCAATAACCCATCTTGGTCTCAGAAAACAAATGATGGAACACGTCTTTCTTCAATAAACAGTGGGGGGAGGGGAACCATGTAGCAGTTGTTTTGGCTCAACTGTTTTCCTATGTCATTAGCAATGGGGTGCAGTAACACCACACAAGTAATTGCTTAAAAAAAAACAAACCAAAAAACCCTAGGCATCAATTAAAAAAAAAAATTTTTAAAGGCTAGGGTGCTGGGCCAGGTTTTAGATCAGAGCAGTGACATATTAGCTTTCTCAATATTATTCCTGACAAAAACTGATACACAACTCCTAAACCACAGCTGATTCTGGTCATATTGGGAGGGTCGTGGGAAAGAAGAGTAGTCCCCGATGCCTTAATGACCATTCAAATCATCCTGTTCGGAAGAAGAAGAGTTTTGCTTGGCCTGCATCTGAGTTCAGTGAGCCCATTTACACTAGGTAATAAATACAAGAGAGAAAACAGTTTCTGCCATCTACGTTATGACATCTCTGGAAGTTGGCAGTCTGCTTGGACAATGGCAACAGAACTCGAAAGGGAGCCTGGCCCCTAAATTCAGACAGTGGAACCCAGGGCTGCGGGCAAGCTTCTCCGATGATTAGCGCTCCTCGCCTCTCACCGTGGCCTCAGACGTCACACTCCCCAAGGACATCAGGTCCTAAGCACCAGGAAAGACCTTCCATTCCCTCAGCCAGGATCCAGGCCCGGGGGAAGCCCACTGGGCCTTCCTCCCTGCTTGCCCTGCTCTCTGGGGGAGAGCAGCTGTTCCCTGTCTCTGTGTGGCTCAAGGAAGGACCCCACCGGCAAAACCAGGGACCTGTGAAGCATTTATACAACGCCCTGGAATCCTGAACTGTGACCCACCCACCCTCTGGAAGCCAGGGCAGACCCCCGAGATTCTCACGCACTTGCATGGGACTAGTTTTGTGGAAATTCGGGGGCTGGGGTGATTGTGATTAAGCAGTAAGATAATGGAGCAGAAGATCTTATAGGTGTAACCTTACAGGTGTAATCACAGCCCAGAGCCTCAAGTTTCCCCAAATGGAAAACATGGCTGGTTATTAAAATCACCAGAGTAACAGATGGATGGGCGGGCTGTCTGGCTGGCAGTGGGGGAGGTCCGCACCAGGCCCCCGCACTCACCTCGATCGCCTCTGGGATTCCGGAGCGAAGGCGATGTGCTTCTCTTCCCAAATATCTTCCTCATCAGAACCACCATCATCAAACTGCTGTATCCTTTCTTTACAGCACGCTTCAAACAAGGCGATGTTTCCCTAAACAGAAACAGGAGGAGCGTGAAGGAGAAGAACTGGAAGAGCAGGAGATCGCAACGTCAGCCGCTCCTCTCCCCAAGTTCTAAGACAGTGCAACGTGCGGCTCGTTTGGGACGACCCGCTTCGGGCTGCATAAAGGGCCATTCGGAGAAGCACTCGGTGATGTCCACCATTCGATACTGCTTTGGAAATGGTGTCTCTTTCCCCATTTCCTTCTCGGTAACTAAGCACAGCACACAGACAAAAGAAACGTAAAGATCTGACGTTACCTTCCCGGGAAGTCAGAGCAGAAGGCTTCCCTGAACAGACTGGACTCAAAACTAGCAAACAAGTAGCACGGACCACTCCTCTCCCACGCTCACTTTCATCTAGTAAGATCATAATTTCATTCCCAAGAGTGAGCGACTCAGAGGCCCCCCCACGTCCCCCACCCCGGGCCTGAACAAGCCAGAAAGGGGGCCGGAGCGAGAGCGAGCGCCTCCACGGCGCACCAGCCAATCAACTCGTGCTCTCTTCTCGACAGAAACACCCAACAAGAGAGTGCTGGAAAATCAGCCTGGATGATAAAAACAAAGTACTGTCGCTCTTCGCTTGCGAAGATAATACAATGCTCATCACGGGTCCGTCGGGCATCAGCTCCGGGGTGTATGAGCCTGCGTGCTGAGATTCGCCTGCATTCTCCGTCTATCCACACCCTCTCTCTCACCCAACGCTCCTTGTAACCACGGCATGCATTAAAAGACAGTTGGCTCAAGGGGGCAATCTGTGGTCATGGAGTGTTTCTGTTGGTGCTAAGCAGGTCATTTGGGAATGAAATTACTGCCCCTGCCCTCCCCAGTCCCCAGCCAGGGAGGCTCCCACAGCCCCGGTGGCTCTGGGTGCGGTACGGACACATGAGGGCACTCTGTGTGGCAGCCCTGTCCAGGACGCTTTCACAGGAAGCCTGACAATCGGGTGGAGATGAAAAGCCTAGCTACAGAATGGAAGCCAAATTTTACTTCCCGGTTTCCCTCCCCTCACCATCTCTCATCACGTCTTACAGGAAATTTTCTACTCACACTTTCATTTGTATTGAGGGTAAAGTTGATGTCTGACACCCGATCAAAAGAAACACTGTGAACAAAATACAGGTTTATGCATTTGAGTCCCCGTGAACAAGGAGTCATCTCAACTCCCCAATATACACAGTACTGTTAAAATTCCCACATTCCAGAAGCACAGAATCATATCCCATTGTCACACACACCCCCTTCTCTCAACTATGACATGGCAAAACGCTCACAGTCTGAGCCCGCCCTGTGACAGGGAGAGGGAGAGGGGAAGGGAAGGGACAGCTGTTCTCCTAAGCTGACTAACCACTGCTCTCTGTAACTGTCTGGCACACAACAACGAGCTGGAAAAGAAGGCACGATTTTAAAATCCGAGTCCCCAGGCTGGCTGAGTCTGCACCCTGACATACACGTGTAGACACAAATACACCCCTCCATGGCATGGAGAAGCAAAACTACAGAAGGGTGAGAAATGCAAACTCCTTAATTACAACTTTCTAACCCAAACGGGGCCCGGCCCAATGTTTTGACAACTTTTACAAGGATTCCTTGAAAATTATCTCAATGTATGCAAGTGGAAAACCTGAGCTCCAGCGACTAAGGAGGATGCATTCAGTGGGATGCAAAGTCTAGGGAGAACCTGAACCGTGGGGCCCCTGAGGAACAGTGTGAGAGCCCAAGGAGGTGCCCTCCCTACCTGCGCCCAGCACAGCCCCTACAAACCCTTTCTCGGACAGCGGGATTGGCCGTTCGGGGCTCTTGTCCGGGTCTGAAGGGGACAGCGGCTGAGCCGCCCCGCCTCATCCCCTGGTCTAGTTCCATCTCCACGGGCTAACCGGAGCCACCCCCTGCACGGGCCCCCTCAGACGACGTGCCCTCATGCCGTCAGAACCGCACGAGACTACGTGCCTGGTTTTCCTTTTCTGGCGAACCCTCTGAATAACTGACTCTGGGAGTTAAATCTGTGCGCGTGGCCTGACATTTCCTCTTCTGTTGCACATCCCCTCTGTCCTACATCCTCCGGGTAGGGAGGAGACCCTGGTTCTCACGGGCCACGCAAACGGAGACATCCTCTAGCGGGTTCTGCCATGCCAGGAGGGCTTTGCGTGTAGGTCAGTTTGTGGACTCTGTGTGGGCTGTCAAAAGACCAGCCTGAATCCTGAAGGGCTCCCCAGCTCCCCTGAAGGGCGAGGGCTGCAATCAGGAGAGGAGGAATACAACAATAACCTTACAGATCTTTGAAATATGAAGCGTGCATACACTATGGGTGTGGATATTCTATTTACTACCTAAGAATGGACACCACAGGTTTCCAAAGGGCTTTTACAGACATTATCTCATCTGATCCTCACATCAACCCTCGGAGGTAACACCAGAGACACTTCTCTTCATTTTATAGAGGAGGAAACTGAGGCTCAGAGTTGGGGAGTGACTTGTCCAGGGTCACTCTGCTAGTCAGCATCAGAAAATGGATTCCACTCCAAGTCTCCTGCCCTGAAAGCCAACATTCTGCCCCTATCCTCCAGTCTTTAAATCCATGCACGCACAGCCCCCAGCTGCCCAGGTGGTCGGGTGAAATGACACAACAGGGTGTCCACATGCACGGCCCAGAGAGGGCAGCCAGTCCCTTTTTCGTTCCGGGTCACGCCTGGGCAATTCTTGGCATAGAGAATTCCAGTGAAGGAAATGTGCTCTTCCACAGCAGCTAAGTCTTATGGAGCTGCCCAGAGCACTGAGAGGGTCTGGTGACTCGCCCAAGTGTCAGGCAAAACTCGAACCCAGATTCCGTGCCCCTCGGTATGAACCCCGGTCTCGGTGCACAGCCTCCCACGGTGCTCCCCACAAAGACGAGGCCCAGAGTGATGTTGGCCGCACCGCTCCCTGAGGAAGCCGCGTGGCCGGGCCGCCCAACGCCATGGGAACCCAGGAACAGCAGGGTACGAGACAGACAAGGACCTAGGGGAGCATACTCACTTGCCAATGTCATCTTGATCTGCAAACTTCTCATCATTGAAGCCAAACTGGTCAATAAAATTGGACGTCATTTGTTGCATCTGATAATCAGAAAAGGCCTGGCAACCCCAGGACCAACGACAGTGACATCATGATTCTACGGATAATCTAAACACTATTTGCCCACTTGTGCTCCAGAAACATTTACTAAGTTCAACACAGGGTTGAAATGGGTCTGTAGTTACTGAAAGCTTTTTTTCTTCATTTTAAAGAAGCAATTATTTCAGACATATCTGCAAAAGGTAGGTTCTGGAATCTGTCCTACTAATGCACAAAGGAGAAGACCCAACACACTTTCCAAGAACATTCCCACATTATTTCTACAAGAACAAGCTATGTCATGAGATTCCAACTTCACTGAAGGGCTCCCTTCGGAGATCTGGGCCGTCTTCCTACATGCTGCTCTGGACACCCCCACGCAGCCCCCCTCAGACATCCCACCGTCCCTACAACTAGCAATGGGATACAAAGATGTGACAGTCCTTCTGGGTCTGCTCTTCTATGGAGCACGCGAGCAGGAGGGGAGGCCCCTGGTCTCCCCTCCAGCTGCGTCGGAGGGGCAGTCGTGAGGATGAAACAGGGCGGCGCTCAAGCGCGCCTGGATGTTGGACAAGGCCCAAGCACGGACCCGGGATGGGTGTGCAAACACTTTGGGGTGGCCTCAGACCTTCCTAGGGCCCAGGGTATGTGGAGAATGAGAGGCCAAGGCTCGGAGCGTTACTGAAACTGCCTCAGAGAGACAAAGGAACAAGAAGGGGACAAGAAGGAAGAGATTTTTCTCTTCTCTGTCTCCAACACTAAGGGGATGAGGGGCTTTGTTCTTCTCCACCGAAAGAAAGAGCAGCAAAGAACACAATGGAGCTAAGGAGGGGGTTTCAGAGGGCCCTCAGGGAGACTCCAAAAATGCCAAGTGCAAGCTTTTCCACTGATATTCTCTGGGTCTGCCAAGGCACCACCCATCTGTACAAAAGAGAACTCTGGGAGGTGCTTAATGGAGGTTTGGTGATCAAGTGTGTCCTTGGCAATGGGAGACCCAGCCCTCAACATGGGTACTTCAGGAGCCACCGGGGGGGGGGGGGGCCGCTGGCTGGCTCCACCCACCCTCCCGTGCAGGGGGAGAGGGCTGGATTGGGAAATGCACTGAGGGCTATATATGGAGACGGGGATTTGTGAGTATATCTCTTCCATGAGATTTTTTGTTGAAGAGAATGACTGAAACTAGATCAGCAAAACATGACGCTCATGAGCTACCTCGGTTAGCAGAGCTAACAGAGAAGTTTGCATGTATAATATTCAGATGGATATCCTTAGCCCTGTGGTCACCCATTCTTAGACAGAGAGTGAGCCACAGACAGTTCAAAATTACAGACACTGTCAATATTCTTCTTTAGGGGGAATTCACAAGATGGCACCGGGTCTCTCACTTGGACTGACCAGGCCCTATTTCTCCTTCTCTCATCTCCTTGGAGTTCCAGCGCGGTCTAATTTCCCGCACCCTCTCACACAGGCATGCCACCTGTGATCGCACATCTTAGAGACAAGGACAAGGGATGCTGGGGTTGGGAGGGCTTGTTGGCTACTAAGGGGATTTGGCACAGGAAGCCTCTCTGTCACCCTATTTTCTGACTGACAAGGGCAGTGACTAAAGCTAATAATGCCTAAGAAGAATGAAAACATTCTCAGACCAGTCGATAGCTACTGGTGATTGGCTGAGAGCCTCTACAATGGGGCTATAATATGGAAAAAATTTTATTTGAGATAAATGTGTTCTGTGATTTAAAAATTACAAACTACCCTTTTTGTACCTTTAGATAGAGACCTTCTACAAACCGAATTTAATGCTTGCTGCCTCACAGAATTATATAAGTAAACATGAGTTTGTTTTTTAAATCCACGAACCCTAAGTCTGTGAACTTTGCAAAATCCTTTGTCAGTCTGTTTGGGTGTGGAAGAGGCTTTTCCAAGCCAAAGGAAGGAGAGAGTATTTCCATCCTTCTGTGTACCTTTGGAGGGCTCATGGCTGCAGAGTCTAGGGCTGGAAAAATAAGTGCTGCTCTCAAAGACTTATTATTTGTAAAGAGCTTATTGACAAAAATAACATGAAAAAACCTTAAGATATTGGTACAAACTATTCTACAGAAAGATGGGTAGGAATAGGATAAAAAATCTGAGTTTGGCGAGTGAAATTCAAAGTCCAAAACACATGAAAACACCTTTCTGTAACTTAAGAGTAGCTAAAATGAGTAGGAGGAATGGAAAGTGCCCCGCATGATCCATCAGTAGTCACTACCAACACACATGCAGCCCTGCACAGCACTGCTGGACGAGGGGAGCTCTGACGGCTTGCCAAGTCGGGCTGGGCAGCGCTACAGGTCATGGTCCCCCAAACCAAGAAGCAAGGTGCTCCCAGAGCCCACGAGGAGCCAGGACTTCATGCACAGAGCAGGGAGCTGCCTGGCCCCAAGGGCCAGGCCCACAAATGCAAAGGGGACTCAGTTGAAAGCCTGGGAACTGGACAACAGGGCACCACTCACTGTTGGGCCCTGATGGAGAGAAGAACTGAACTTTAAATAGTCCCTGGGAAAAGCTGGGCAACCCCCGGCTCAAAACAAGGAAGCTGCCCAGCTTGGAGGGGAGCTGGCCACAGCAGCTAGCGAGGCAGATGGAAAATTAAGATAACAGATTTAAAGTATAAGTAAAACCCGTCATAATGTTAACAAAGGAAGCAATGTGGGGTCTTAGGATAAGGAAGGCATGGGGTCAGGAGTTCTATAAATTCAATCTCGATGCCTTTTCCAGGTATAAACACGTGAGAGAAAAGCAGCCCTCCTACTGCCCGGGAGGGATGGTAGAGGACGGCTTCCTTGTGCCCACAGGGGTTCCAGAGCTGTTGGGGGCCTGTATCCTGGGAAGGGCCCAGAGCACACTTGGCAGCACTGGCCCCAAAGGGGACAGTTTCAGCATCAATGCAGACTGCTGAGGGGTTTAACTCCCTCCCAAGACACTGGCTGGCCAGCCCAAAAGCCACCCCTGACCTGCATGTTCTTTTTACAGAAGGAAATCCTTGCTCATTTTTAGGATCTGGGGCAAACCTGCTCTGTTTACTTAAGCTACTAAGTTGAAGTAAGACAATGAAAAATTTCAATTACATTTCTTCCTGAAATTTGTTTTATAAGAAGCCTCAGCTATCTTTATTAATCAAAATAACTCTAAGAAGCATTATTAGGACTTCAGTCAATCTGGGGTTCCATGATTTGTTAACACTGTCTCTACCAACATTATTTGGAACTGATATTTTAAAAATGTACCCTGGAAATATAATCAAAGCAAACATCATCCGTTCAGATACGACCCTGGGTCCCCCTAAAAAACTGACATAAAAGAGCATTATAAAATAGAAATATTTGCATTTAAATTTAAGCATAACAAATTTATAATATTATGAAGACAATTCTTAAAAAGTTAACCTGACTTGCCATCCAAAAAATCCCAAAGCAGAAACTATGCACATAACTCACTTGCTGTAAAGAAGAGTCTTGCGAGAAACCCGTTTCTTTAAAGTCAATTTCATCATCACTGGATGAATGAATATGGCAGGTTGTAACCTATGTGTAAAAATGGACATAACTATTTAATACCAGTATTGAAATTTTAATTACGAAACAGGCACATTACTTTTTCTATTAAAATATATACAAGAAAATGCACAAACAGGTTAAACCAAATTAGGGACTGATGATAGTTGTAGCAACATTTAAAAAAACCGTTTTACCACCCAGTCGACCCAATTATTCTCAGGAATTCTCAGATTCTGCCAACACAGATTTCTTCCACTGCCCTGCACTTGGACCACCCTGGGCTCCTTCTACTCTGTCACCACCACCACCACCAATAAGAAGACAGGGACAAAAAGAATCCATCTAACTCAAGTGATCTGGATTTGCTACTAACAGCAGCTGTGTCAGGGAAGTAGGTTAGAATGGCTAAAATAAAATGATCACATACAGATTGAGTTTATGTAAAACCACCCCGATAGGGAGGCCTGACTCAGAGCCCTGAGAAGGGCAGAGGAACGGCAGCTCAGGTCGAGAGCATGTTGTTAAATGGCTGTACAACAAAACAGGCCTTGAGCCACGTATGCACTTGGCCCTCATGTTTAAAAATCCACTAACAAGGAAAAACTGGAGGTCTGGGATGTAAATGGTTAAAGCTCCTGATGCATCTCTCAAACCCAGCAAGTTGAGCAAGGTCCCTTAAGGACTGAGTGCAAAGGAGCCCAGCCCAGGAGGAGCCCTGGGCTTGAAGTCAGAGGCCCTCCGCAGCCAGCATGTACCACCAGCCTCACAGGAAGGTGCTTGCTTAACCTGTGCCACAGGGCACAGCTGGAGGGAGAAGTGAGCTGGGTTGGTCTGCCATGGGCCTAGATCCCATTTCTCTCAGGCACAGTGTCTCTGCTGTCACACAGGACATAGAACTTTCTCACTTGGGTCACTGCAGGATACAGGTTTATTTGCCCAGATCCCTTGGGCATAACAGTCAGATGCCAAGAGTGTGATCAATCATCATAATGCTGACTAAATAATAAGCACTACAATTACACTGTATTATGTGCCTGATTTAAAAAAAAAATGAAAACTCGCCCTGACCTCATGAAGAATCACCATGCAGAAAGAGAGCAGGCTTGCTTTTCCTTCTTACCAAACTGGGGAGGGAGGCTGTGCCTTAAATTTACCCTCCATGCTTAGGGCTGTGTAGAGCCCAATAAGGAGGGGGGCACCCAGGCAGGACCATCAGACGCTGCTGCCGGCACGTATGTGGCGCACAGGCTGGGCCTGTGTGCAAGCCCCTGAATGCAACCTAGGAAGAGCCTCCTGATGCCTTATTAATGAAGGCATGTCTCTGTCTCTCCAGGAACTGCTCTCTCAAATGAAGCCAAAACTCTCTCTTTTTATTTGCTCTTCAGCTTAACTCTCCACATAAAAACCTGTCACTAACTCAATGGAAATCCTAAGCAAGTCATCCATATGGATCTCAAATCTGAGTCAAGTCTGGGGCTCTGAAGAGTTAGGGCCTAAGGCACATTGTGGGCAGCCTGTAACTGGAGGTGCCATGGGCTCAAGCATGAAATCAGCAAGCCCCCTTGATGGTCCCCACTTTTTACCCCCTAGTCACTACAAGGCCTAAGCTACCAGGCCAAATGACTCGCCTTTCGATATCCCCTTTGCTTCATCCAGAGTCGATAACAAGGGTGCCTCACCACGCGAGTGAATGTGGAAAGGCCAGCCGCGTCAGCATCTCAATAAAGGAGACAGCTAAAAACCGCTCTCCTGGCGACAAGGGCATGGGCGGGACCACATACCATAATGAAAAGGGGGTCCTGGATGTACACGAAGTGGCCTTTCTGCCCAATGAGGCAGTCCCAGGGTCCAGTGTGCCTGTGGGGGCTTTAAGGGCCGGGCTATTTGGTGGTGCCTCTGGGACTCATTTTCTCTAAGAGATTCTACAGTAACTTCTTATTTAAAAGCAGTCAAACTCTGCAGAACAGCTAAAGTATTATCATTTTAAGTGGAAAATCGAAACTTCAATGGCTTCAGTCTGTATTATATAACTTTTGCATGTTTCTTGATGAAGTATATGAATTCAAGTTTTACTTGAAATCCTTCATATTTCAAATGTTAAAATTAATTTACATTCTCACAAAACATAGGCTGGAAGAAAGACACGCTGCCCCTTCCCCCACCCCAAAACAAGGCAGGAGGGTAATCCAGCTCGGATGGAGAACTGAGTGGAACACAAGTTACTCTTCAATGTAGGGAAGCGAGGGCTCTTTAAGATGGAAGAGAAGCCCAGATCCGGGGCGACAGCGATCACAGAACACAAGTGGACTGACTTCTGCTGCTTCAGCTGGGGATATTTGTAGATGAAGGCTCCATTCATTTAAACTCTTAATTTCATTCAATTAACCAAGTCTTTACTGAGCACCTACTACGTGCCCAGAATGTGTCAGGTTGGTTGTACCGCTTACGGTGAACTCTTCCTAAAGTTCGGATACGACTGGGTGATAGAGAGAGAGTCCCTCCCAGCTGGGGAGGAGCACCCCTCTGTCCATCCCTCCTGGGGGGGAGGAGGTTAGCTGGCTCACTGACCATTGACTGAAACCTCACTGGTTACCACATGTGCAAAATTACACTCTATGAGCATCGGGTAGTAAAGAAAAACCCTTTTGGAAACAATATTCGATCAGGGCTGCAAATGAAGACATCATGTGCAGAGATGAACACCAAACCGAGAAAAATCCCCTCTGACAAATTCCCTCCCCTCTGCTGGAAGAATTCACTATTTTCACTCTGTCTCCCACAGAAGCTCCACTTTCTGCAGCCCAGGGGCCCTGGAGCCCCCTGGAGAGGAGTCTTTTCCTGCTGCCCAAGGGCTACCTTCCCTGCCTTCTCCAGCAGCTGGAAGGGGCTCTGTGTCCACGACAAATGCGGGTCACCGTCACAGGGGAGGATTCGCGTCCTTGGCTGTGACACAGAACGCCTGCGGGGATTCCTGGGGAGAGGAGCTGCTGCGTTTGCTTTCGGACAGGCTCTCTGGCCACCAGGGTGCAACCCACCCACCCATGTCTTAGCTCCTGCTTCTAACCCACCACGAGAGAGGCAGCATGGGGGCGGCCTTCGGAGAGGGCCCTCACAGAGATCTCCGGCATCCCAGGGAGCTCCACGCTGTGCCTGGAATTGGGGAGGCTCAGGAACAGCGGAGACCTCGCCTGAGGAGGCAGAGACAGAGAAGAGAGCTTGGAACCTTCTCATCTGGGTTTCACGTCGTGGCTGACTGATTTCAGGATGGCAAGTGGGGATCGTGCCCCCTTCTCTGGGCATCAGGCTAATTGGCTTTACCCACTGTAAGCTGGCGTGTGGTCTCAGGAAAAACTACTTCATTAAAATTCACATAAAGTGAATCCCATGACGGGGTAAAAATGGCATATAGTCCATTCCAAAGACCAACATAAATGATACCATTTTAAAAAAATCAGGCACCCTTTAAAACTGAAGCTAACAGAGTTGCCTACATAAGTGGTTTCATTAATTCAATAACCTAAAATTGGGCACACCCAACCCATCCATCCTCTGAGGAAGCTGTACTCTGGAGACGACTCAAGGGGATTTTGAGCTCTCGTGGCTCTCCCCAAGAGAAGCCAGCTCAAGTTTAAAGAGCGCTCTGGAAAGCCCAGGGATGGCTTGCCTCCCCTCACTGATAACAGAGCCAAAGCCACACGGCCTGCTCTGGTTGGGGGCCAGGAAGATGGTGGTAACCAAACAAAGCGTGGAGGTCCCGGCACGAGGATGTCTCAGGGAAACCTGAAGTTATAAGGAGCCCACAAGATGACAAACCTCGGCGGGCAGGAACAGAATGGATGCACCGCTCCCTGAGAAGCCAGAGGACTGTGAGCATCTTAAAAGCAAAAAGGGATGGCCACTTAAGACAGAGAAAAGCTTGTGCTGTCTTCCTTCTCCTTTGAACCAATCTATCTTTGGTTGAAAAATACCACCAGGCCCCTCCAAACACCACATAGCATGGGGCCCGGAGTCAGAAAGACTCAACTCAAGTTCAAATCTGGCCCCAGACACCGACTAGGTGTGGGACCCTGGGCAAGTCACTTCACCATTGTTTGCCTCAGTTTCCTCAACTGTAAAACGGGGATGAGATTAGCACCTGCTTTGTAGGGCTACTGTGAGGATCAAGTGAGATGATATTTGTAAAGTGCTCAGCCTGGTCGAGGCACAGAGTAGGCGCTACGTGAACGCACGGTGCCCTCACGAGGCTGCCGCTCGCGCCTCATCCAACCTACCAGGTCCACTGTGTTCCGCTTGTTCGTCTCCCCTAAAGAACTGGTGCAGAAGGTCTCCCACCGTTCTCTGACATCGTCCGGAAGCTCTGGGAAATGGGAGAGGAAAGAAGCTGCATCACCAGGCAACCCTACTGCGCGCACGCACCCATCCACGCACACACCACACACACAGACATACACCCACACCCAGAGGCTCTGAGCCTTTGGCTATCTCCAGGGGACCCCAAGGCTGGAGGGAGGAGGACGTGTGCTCACGCTGAGCTCCTGCCCCCTGGCCCCTGCTCTCCCCGCTACACTGAGGATACCAAGGTTCTTACAACAGGAATTCAAGTAATCTCACGTGGCCTGACCATTATGAGGCAGTTGGGGGTGCCACGGCCCACAGAGCACACGGCCAGAGTCAGCAAGCCTCGAGCTGAAATCTAGTGTCAGACACAGAGCAGCTGTGGAACCCAGGGCAATTCACCAAACCTCTGCTGCCTCCATTTCATCTGTAAAATGGGTGTACTGCCAGCACCTCCCTCCCAGGGTTGTGCTCCTATTGGCAAAGCGCTCAGCAGGGGCTCCTTTCCCCTCCCCACCCTCCAAAGGCACAGCACAACCGAGGGGACGACCCTCCCCGACTCCAGCCAGTCTCTGACTCAAAGACATCCACGGCAAGGAAGGCCACGGTACCTCTGGGCAGGCCTCCTGAATGGTGTCGTGGCCAGGTCTCATTTGCCATGACCCCGTCCCCATCCCCGTGGACGAAATTCGCTCCTGGCTCTCCCCGAGGGGGCCCCCAGCACAGAGGCCGGGAGCAGGTTTCCTGGTAGACCTTCCACAGAGACACTCAGAAAGGCCAATGAGAGGCTGGCCAGCTGCCCGGCAGATACAGCCCGGAGCTCTCCACAAGACACACTGCGTTCCCCTCTGGAACAAGCCCAGCCCTGGCCACGGCTATCAGGGTGGTTTTTGAGGTGACTCGAAGCCACAAAGCAAGTCACCCCGACTCAGAGTAGGAGAGAGCAACCAGGAGGACCTCGACAGAGGCCTGAATGCTAACTGACAGGGGCAGAGCCCACCAGGTGAGCAAGGGACAGGCAGGGAGACTGAGGGGAGTGAATCCTGAAGCTAAAACAAAGTTCTCCAACCCACGAGGCTCACACACCCCTTTGGAATTCTGGTGAGGCAGAAGCCTGCTTGCCTCAGAACAACGTAGACGTGGGATCACAGAGGACCCTGAGAAGAATAAAACTGTTCTCAGGATACTGTTGGGGATTTTGAAGGGCTAAGAATGCCTGCCCTAGCTCAAGCTGCCTGGAACCACACCAGTGATCGTGTCACGTGGCCACAGCTTGTGGAGAAATCCCCCAGCAGATTCCCTGGAACACATTCACCAAAGTAGCCAAAATCAGAAACTGTGTTTTTTTTAAAACAAAAATGACAACCACAAAATAAAGCACTACAGAGCTTTTTACAGTCACATAATTTGGGTCAAATTAACGTAAAATCAACTAGACAAAGATCTGCTCTACTAAGAAGCCTTTCCCAGTCCAAGCTCAGCTCTGAGCGATCCCGGACACCATCGGGACTCACCTTTAATCAGCTGCTGCACTAACGTACTGTTTGGCCCCTTGTCTGTGCTGTGCACGATGCAATTTGCAATCCTCGTTAAGTGGCCCATGTAACCGTGGCGTCGTCCTCCTTCGGCCCTGAAAGAAAGAGGTCTATGAGTCCCACATCTGTCGAAATGAAGTGGGGGACACAGGGCTAAATTCATCAATGATAAAGTTTGCAGAGGGAACACTCTTGGCAAATGGGTCTGTAGGCAAGAATGTGTTGTCTCCAAAATTGCTGACAAGATCAGACAGGTGTGGGATAAGGTGAGGGCAGGCCCCTTCATCCGTCTGAGTCAGTCAACCGTCCTCATTATCTGATGTTCAGTGACACACTTTCCTTTGGGTTAAGCTACTGACTGGAGTTTAACCAGACCAAGAAAAAGCTCCGAGCAGGCACTAGGTCAGCTAAAGGCAGCTTTGGAGCACGCCTCTATCTACTCAGTGTTCTCCCAGGGAGTTTGCATATTATTTTTCCATGGCTAAGTAAGGAAAGCTCTTGCTTTGGAGTAAAGCCAATTCCAAGCATCAAGGAACACAGAGTGAGGATTCAAGGTCAGAAGGTCCCCACTATCTGCCTTTCCGCCTAATCCCAAGGACTGTGGGGGGCAGAAGAGTCGCTGTCCTGGCATGCCTGACTTCTGGTCAGCTTCACATCTCAAAGTCACCCTGCATGAACCTAGGTCCCCCTGACCAGCTGGCTTTCCACGTGTAAGCAGAGGATGAACCTGTCCCCCCTCCCTCTTCTACCCAATACTCCCACAGGGCAGAGACCGAAGCCATCTTTGCCTGTCCTTCACACTTTACTACCTTGCACTCAGACCCACAAGTGTGTGGGGGCTATCCAGCCTTCAGCCCCACAGTGTCAGATACTGACAGCTTTCTGGAGCTGAGGACCCACTGCTTAATTCAACTCACAAATCCAAATATATTTCCAAGACAGAAAAATCTGATTACTCACTGTTTCTTCTCATTCATTTCCCAGGCTTCAAGTATTCGTTCCACTAACTGGCACTTAAGAAACAGCTGTTTTTGTTTTTGTTTTTGAAAGAAAGAAAAAAAAAATCCAGTTAACACTGAAATGTTTTCCCCATAAAACTACACTGCTTGTGAATGAAGCCGTTTTAGTCCCAGAATATCACATATAATTTAAACATTCAACAAAGGAGAAGAGACAATACGCCCTTTAAAGCAAAACTGACGTGACTACAAGCAATCGAAAAAAGTGCCCAGACCACAACAGACAAATGGTCAAATACAGGGCTTCTCATTTCAGCAAGTCAAACTGATCTGGAAATTTAAAGAGAAAAGACTTGCTTCTTCGGGGTTGAGATCAGCTAGGAAAATCAAGCCCAGAAGGAGATCGACCGTCCAGAACACTACCGTTCCTAAAGGGAACCAGGCTCTGGCACCTAATCAGAAACAGCAGCCCAACTCTTGCTTTTTTCAGGGCAGAAATGAGGCGAATGAGGGGCAGTTAGGTGGCACAGCGGATGGAGCACCGGCCCTGGATTCAGGAGGACCTGAGTTCAAATCTGGCCTCTGACACATAACACTTACTAGCTGTGTGACTCTGGGCGAGTCACTTAACCCCGATCGTCTCACCCAAAAAAAAAATAAATAAAAGAAATGAGGCCAATGAGAACTAGAGAGAAGCCAACTTAACGCAGGTGAGATGCAGATCAGGGAAAAAAGCTGTGTGTGGGAACTTGGCCCCCCGACCATAGAGGGAGCACTGGAAAGGACCTCGGACGCCATCCCCACAGAGACACGTTAGCAGAGGCTCAGGGAGGTGAAGGAGTCTGCCCGAATCCCTGAAACCACCCACACTGCTCCCAATGTCTGCTCCCTCATCGAGTCCCCACAAAAAGGACACTGGAAGAGAGGAGTCTTACGTGTCTCAGTAAAAGATTGTCGCCAGTGGAATCCTGATCAGTAACGGGGCCACTTTCTGGGCTTTCAAAAGGACTTGCAAGAATCAAGGCAATACAGATTTCTACTTGAGTATGTAAAAAGTTATTCCATGTATATTTGAAGAACATATCCTGTCAAAAAAAAAAAGAGCTTTATTTTAAAACTCTTGGTTCTCTATATAAATAATGAATTTAAAACACAATTTCACTAAAGGAAATTCAATCAGCAGCCATGGTATGTCTACAAAGTGAGAATGGAAGGTCTCGGCATAAATAACACTCAGATGGACAATCAGCCTGGATGGCAGAAAAGGTCGTCCACTCTATGGGTCGACGCGTACTGTCACAGAACCTCAGAGGAACAGCATGAAGCACCTGGCGATGACAAGCTCCCGACCGATGAGAGGGGCACACGGGGACACATGCACACAACACACATCACGCCACTGTAGCGGCCGGTCGTCCTGAGCGTGTGACCATTCCTCAGAGCTCCTGGTCCGCACATCTTGCAGCATCAGCCAAAGGCATGTGACAAAGGAACACGGGGAACACCTTGCCTGCTCACAGACAGCCTGAGAGCCATGCTCTGACCCAAAGAAGAAAGCCTCAGTCAAATTCGGACATTCCAATTAGGGACTGAAAACAATCCTACCAAAAGGACCGCCATCAGCCTGAATTTAATGATGTTGCAAAACCGTATTTTTCTTCTGTGTGCTGAGCAGCCAGAATTCTGTGGGCTATGGCTACTGTTCACTTTCTAGACAATACTAATTAGAATGAGAGAAGAAACCAAATCAGAGAAAAGAGGTAAGAATGGTTCTTACTGACTCCCCCCAATGGGAGGAGATGGAGAAAAAGTCACTTTTCTGACCCTTTCATGACTAAGATAGAATCGACGACCCACTCCTACTTTGGGGAGTCTTTTGTCTTTGCCAATACACTTCTTAAAACGAGATCATACAAACTCTTTTCAATTATGCTGCTCTCGATATTAGATCATCTGAAAGAAGCCAAGACCTTTCTCAAGCTCTTGTGTCAAGTAACAAAAACAAATAATGGACAATTCCCACATGAATTTCCCTGGCCTAAGTATATCAATCAACCAACCAACCAGCTGAGGGCAAAGAGGAGGCAGCCCTTGCCCTCAAGGAACTGACATTCTATTGACAGGAGTTGACATGTACATCCACAAGTGCACAGATGTACGCACATAAGTACACACAAACTGAATCCAAGGCATTGGAGGGAAGGAGGAATGGCCTAATGCTGGAGATAGCACTGGGGCTAAACTTTCAAGGAAATTAGGGAAAGGAAGAGATAGAGGACGCATCCCAGGTGCAGGGAACGGCCAGTGCAAAGGCACGGTGATGGGAGAATTATGGGTAACACACTGAAAAGGCCTCTGTGGCTGGACTATCGCGTGTGTGAGGTGGAGAGCTTTCCATGCCTGGTCAGATCTGAGATTTAGAAATAATTCTTTGGCTGTGTGGAAGACAGAATGGACAAGGGAGAAAGCACAGGCCAGGAAATGCAAGTGAGAGATGATGCCCACAGTGCCCCGGGGGAGGCCCTGCTCAGGGCACACCCTCCTGGCCTCACAGCAAAGGCTCTGGACACAACGCAAACTAAGCATCCTGAACTAGACGGACCCCGGGGACACGGACAAACTGACGGACGGACCACCTGGGAGTTTACTGAGGATACGAGGGGGAGAAAGCTGGACGGAACAAAGCTTCCAGAACACACTCCTTGGAAGTGCCTCCCGCTTCCTGAGGGCCCAAAAGCAGAGTGGCATCAAGTCACGTGGGCCAACGGCAAGAGAAGGCAACACGCACTTACCAGTATCACGCCGACGCTGTTGAGCTCCACGAGGTCCACGTTGACACTGTTCGTGTTGGTCTGCAGGAGGCTCGAGATCAGTCGGATGACATTCAAGCGAGTGTTCCCCACAGGAGGATCCAGCACACCCCAGGTGGTCTTCATGACACTTTTCTAAAGACAGAAAAACAATACTGATCTCAACTCAATGCATCACTTTCCATAAATTGATTTGTGTATAAACTGGCTCTAATTTTTCAGGGTAAAAAAAAAAAACAACCTTCAGGCCAGGAGAAGCAGCCAGGTTGATTTGCAACAAGCTCATTTACGTGGGCACATACACGCTAACTTATGCCTGACCGCTGAGCCACTAAAGTACTACCAGCAAAAAGCTATTCTCTTGTTCAAAGGATGTGGGGCTGAAAGGGGCTTAAAAGTCACCTAATCCAATCTCTTCATTTTGAAGAAGATAAAGGAGGTACAGTTTCTTTAAGTCAAGTCTCAGTTACAAAAAGAAATCTAGACATTTTGCAGGTAAACTGGTAAAAAAAAAAAAGTGAACTATTCACCCCACCACTGTGTCAGTGAACTCCATTCCAGCTCCTTAACATCCCCCATCCTTTCTATCAGCACATGTCTTCCCACTTCCATATGCACACACTTCGCATTTTACACTCATCATATGCCAGCTTAAACCAAAACGAGGAGGCTTTAAAAATATCGAAAACTGTCGAGGGTCGATAGCAGGTAACCTTCTTACCCTAGAGACCAGGGAAAGATTTCAGAGGATGAACTTGGGTGGGAAAAAACTGCCATTTTCATTTCAATATAGTCCTATGTATTTTATTTCATGCAGGCAAAAACCTTGCTCCTGAGTAGGTATCCACAGGCTTCTCTGGACTGTGCCAAAAGGGTCTAGGCCACAAAACAGGTTCACAGAAACACTCTAAGACGATGCAATAAAGCCTCCCATCTGCCAACAGATTTTGTTCCCTGTTAGGAGGGGAGCCAATGGCAGCTGGCCTTCTTTTGGGAGCAAACACCCCAGAAGGATGTCTATCAAGTGGCATGTTGTTGAAAATAGAAAACAGAGGCAGAAAGAGTCAACCAACAGCCCTCTCCACCTCTCCCCACTGCGCCTTGCCACTGGCATCCATGAGCATGGCTTATACCCATGGTGGGCCCTGGTCATCACTAGAGCTGGTCCCCAATCTAGAGCCACCTTGAGGCTGCATTCAGTATTGGCAAAAGCTACATTCAGCATCTCACAAAATCCGAGTACAAAATAACTATCATGCAGAGAAAAGACAGCTGACATTAGCACAGTAGCAGGGAGACTGCCAGATGGAAACTACCGCCACTGCTTTCTATACCATTAGAAGCTGGCACACCTTGGAGGCAACACTCATTCAACAAATAAAAAAAAAAAAAAACCAACAAAATTTAAATGGAATGCTCCAAGTTTAGAGTATTTTGACACTATTCTGAATAGAACCACTTTCAAAATGTTGGTAAGGTTAAGTAAAATATCAACTTAATAGCTAACAATAATCAATTCCCAATAGCAACCACTGTAGATCTCCAGGCCAAAGAGCATAGCACAATACTGGCTCAGACCAAAGTAGCTTTCTGCTCTGTCCCAGAGAGGCAGCGGTGTGCTCCCAAGAAAACTCCTAACACAAGGATTCAGGCCAGAAGGACGAGGGCTGCCTCCCTACCAACCCTTCAGAAGGGGCAAGGATCTCGCCCCCATGCCAACACAGTGACCTGGACCACTTTAAGGAGGCAGGTCAGTCACTGCAGCTTGGAGCTTACCCTCGCTGCTCATCAACCAAGAAAGGACTCAATCAGATGAAACATGCCAACTCTTCAAGTCTCCTACAGCCCCTGACAGTTTCTTGCTCCCTCAATAATACAGCTTTGAAACAATATGGCCAGCACCATCTTTATTAAAGTACATAGCTCTTCAAAGACTCTCAATTTCTTTTTTTTTTTTTT